AATTTACATTTCCTTTCACAAGATCAGGTATGGAATTTGTGAAAAGAGAATATATTTCTTTCTACGTTTTTCCTCCCAGAAACAATGACTGTGAATCATTAGATGTTGGCTCTGGGAGATAGACTCTCTTCGCAAACATGAGAGAGGGCTTTTTTCCCCCTCAGTGTATGGATTTCTCTCATGGAGGTGGGAGGAATGAGACCTCTTGTGTTTTCTCCCAAGCCCGGGGGGCTCGTTCCGAGACCTGAAATGCCTCTTAACTCCGAGGGAAGCTGAAGATCACAGGACTGAGGGACCAGGACGCTGTTGCCCAGGGGCTGCTGTGCCAACAAGGCGGCCGGTGCCGGCAAGGCTGAATGAACATGAACGAACTCAGAGTAGGCGCCGTGAAGAAGCCAAAGGGAACGTGACTGCGTGAGCCTTTACATGTAACACCGGTGTGTGTAAGGATGTTCATGGCCACACTCTGGCTTCACGGTGCGGCCCCATTTATGCGATCTCCTGTTGTTACGAGACTGGATGCTTGCCCCTTTTTGTTAAAGTACATTGATTTTTTTTTGACACAGGGTCTCACTCTGTCGTCATGGCTCACTGCAGCCTTGACCTTCTGGTCTAAGCAGTCCTCCCGCAGCCTCCCAAGTAGCTGCCACTACAGACAGGCACCAAATGCACCTGGCTAATTTTTAATTCTTTTGCACAGATGGGGTCTTGCTTTGTTGTCTAAGCTGATCTTGAGCGCCTGGGCTCAAGTGACCCTCCCTCCTTGGCCTCCCAAAGTGTTGGGACTCCAGGTGTGAGCCACCGTGCCTGGCCAATGCCTACCCCCATTCTGTGGGGGATCTGTTGCTGCCCGTGAGCTGTGGAGATGGGGGAGTTTGTGTGTGTGTGTGTTTGTGTGAAGACTATTGTGCTGACTGGCATCCTGTAGGCAGCTCTTTGTGCTGTGGGGATAATAAGGGTCCTCAACGGACAGACAGAGCCCGGGATTTGAGTCCTTTCTGCCATATGCCACCTTGTGATTTTGAGAGCACATAGCTTCTCTGGGGCTCAATTTCCTCATCTGTGAATGTGGATTAAAACTCTCTTGTAATGTTGCTGTAAGAATGTGACAAGATGGTGATGAAAAAAGGCCCGTCTTCCAGAAGGTGTGAACTGGGTGCTACCTGCTTCCTTCCTCCACCCTGAACTGACCCGGCCAGGTTTTGAGACCCACCTGCAGGCCCCAGGCCAGTGATTCATCCCCGTGTCTGTCCACATGCCCTCCTTGCTGCTTACATCGGTTTTGGTTTTCTTTTTTTTTTTTTGAGACGGAGTTTCGCTCTTGTTACCCAGGCTGGAGTACAATGGCGCGATCTTGGCTCACCGCAACCTCCGCCTCCTGGGTTCAGGCAATTCTCCTGCCTCAGCCTCCCGAGTAGCTGGGATTACAGGCACGCGCCACCATGCCCAGCTAATTTTTTGTATTTTTAGTAGAGACGGGGTTTCACCATGTTGACCAGGATGGTCTTGATCTCTTGATCTAGTGATCCACCCGCCTCGGCCTCCCGAAGTGCTGGGATTACAGGCATGAGCCACTGCGCCCGGCTCAGTTTTGTCATTAGGTCAAGGTCACATAAGTGGTTGGCAGCAAGGCCATCTTGACACTCCTTATCCCAACCCCAAGCCTGTGCTGTCTGTGACACCCCGTTTCTTCTGGAACTCTCCCTGAAGTCAGTAGAAACCTTCCAAAGAAGTAGCTGAGAAAAGCCAAAAACAGACAGACCTCCCGAGTCACAGCTTGGCTCGTCCTGTCGCCGACCAGCAGGATGGAAAGGGAGCTCTCAGGGCTGCAGCCATCAGCAGAAGCAAGTGACCCTCACCCCCAGCCTGGAGAGCCTAGAGTAGGGGGAGTTGCAGCATGGGGAGGACAGCAGAGCGCAGGAGAGCTGAAAGAGGGAGTGTGGGAGGAGGGCAGAGATGGGGAGGCAGGGACATGCAGCTGGAATGCCACCGGAGGGAGTGGCACTCAGTGGAGTGGCCTTGGTCCTACGCCCGAGGAGGCCGAGTGCAGTGAAAGGAAAAAAGGCTGCAGAATCTGGGCCAGCTGGGACCCAATGCGGTGCTTCCTGCTCACAAATTACCTGACTTTGCCCTGATGGTGTCTCTCTGTATGTCTCGAGGTTGCTGTGAGGCTGAAATGGGAAATGGGCTAACGCGCACAACACATCCAGCCCAGTGCCTGGCGCAGCGCTCCCCGAGTTCCCCTTCTCTCCCCACCCCTTACCTCATCTGACTGCTCTGAGGAGGAAACCAGATGAGGCTCTGGAGAAACAGGATTCACTCCGCACAGATCAGTTTCCCTCCCCTCCCTTAAAAACAGGCTCCCAAACTGGTAAAGGTTCCTCGTGAGAGAGTGAGAACGCACGTGGGCGATAAATTGCCTCATTTCACTCGGCGACTGTTTCCCAGTCCTCTCCTGCCACTGCTCTTCTCTCGCAGTGTTTACCCGAGTGCTGGGTACGGTTGTAGAAAATAGATCCTTTGATGGTTTTGTCGAAATATCTTGGGAGCCAGAGGAATCCGGGCCAAGTTAGTCATCCTTTGTGAAACTACAGTCAGGACGCGCTGTTTATCTTGCCCCACCAGACCCTGAACTAAAATATATAGTACAATGAGATGTTCTTGAAAAATAGGGATTGTGGTTTCTCTGTAGGCCGGGGTTGGGCAAGTCTGCTGTTTCAAGAGTGTAATATGTATTCATCAAAATGCTGGAGGTGGCTGGCGAAATAGGCTTTGGGGGCCCAAGTCAGCGACGATCGCAGCCGTGCCGGGCGGGGTGTGGGGTGGCTGCGGTGGCCTAGATTAAAGCCTCCATCCCAGCACCGTCAATAGAACTCTCCGCAGCGGTGGAAAGGTTTTATTTCTGTGCTCTCTGATGCAGCAGCCACGTATTTGAGCACTTGAAAGGTGGCTTCTGTGACTGACAAATGGAATTTTTGGTTTTATTTAATTTAAAGTAACTGAGATGTGGATTTAAATAGCTACATATGGTTTGTGGCTACCATATTGGACAACATAACATTATACAGACAGCAGCATCCCATGAGCAGCTGCTTCAAACGGGCAAGCCTCACATGGCTTTCCAGCCGTGCCCAGGGCTGCTTGATGTGACCTCAGAGAGGTTGCTCTCCACTAGCAAGTGAAACTGGGTTGAGCGGGTGAGGACTTTGCTCACTGGAGGGGCTGAAGCAGAACTGGGGAGAATTTGAAAGGTGACAGAAAAGGAGAGGGTGTGGGCTGGGTGTGGTGGCTCACACCTGTAATCCCAGCACTTTGGGAGGCCAAGGCAGGTGGATCACGAGGTCAAGAGATCGAGACCATCCTGGTCAACATGGTGAAACCCCGTCTCTACTAAAAATACAAAAAATTAGCTGGGCGTGGTGGCGCGTGCCTGTAGTCCCAGCTACTCAGGAGGCTGAGGCAGGAGAATTGCCTGAACCCAGGAGGCGGAGGTTGCAGTGAGCCGAGATCGTGCCATTGCACTCCAGCCTGGGTAACAAGAGCGAAACTCCGTCTCCAAACAAACAAACAAAAAAGATGCAAACATTCCATGATTAAACTAGATCCAGAGAAATGTGATCATCTAAGAGGGTTAACTCCAGGCAGCATTGCCATTTAAAGGCGCTGGTTAACCCCAACGAGTCTCTAAACAGTTGACAGTCTGCAGGGGGAGCTCCCCACCCCTAGCCCCCAAGCAGGAGGACTTCCAAATTCCCTCACCTGTGTGCTGCCGTCTCCTCCAGCCCTAAGGGATAGACACTGGACGGACCCTTTGGCCCGACAGATCCTGCCCTCACACCAACTACTTTTCGGATGCTATGTGCACCCACAAGAAATTTGTCAGTCCTGAACCTGACTCACAGAAGGAAACCTGGCTGGAGAGCAACAGTTCAGATACAAGAGGAATCCTCAAAACTAGGCTGCCTGGGAGTCTGAACTCACGACTGGGCGTCAGGTGGCCCTGTGCCAGGTCCCTTTACAGCAGCGCAGCTCTTGGCACCCCATGTGAGTTTTGGTTTTCTCCTCTTTAAAATGGGTTAATAACCAGCCCTGCTATCCTCTCCCGGCTGTTGTGAGAACCACGAGGAGTCGACGGCTGCATCGGATGTTTTGTGTAAAATGCTCTCTAAAAGCAAAGTGGTGGTGGCGGCCCATTCACGTTCTCCAGATACAAATACCTGCATGGTAATGGGCAAACGGCACAGCACCAGCTTTCTTCTCCCGGCGCTGGAGACGCCGTGCGATGAAACTGTAAGATGCCAAATCACTCCTGAGCTGTTGTAAGGATCAGGCAGAAATGTTAATGGCAACAGATGTCAGCTGGTTCCCTCCAGGAGGATTTAGGCTTCAGTGGAGTATTTCTTTGTGGCCTCCACTAAGACGTGGCCACAGCCCTTTCTGCAACCTTCCGGTCAACCCTGAGAGTCACCGGGCCCACTTCCTGCCTTGAGGTTAAAAATCTGACTGGGAAACATTGGGAGCTGAATCTTGTCTTGGGAGTGCCTCAGGGTGACAACAATGTCCTCTAAGATCAGCTGACGCAAATTTTAGGGGGAATGAAATGCACTCTGGGGCCATGAACAGAGAGGAAAGAACCCGGTTCTAGGCTGTGTTTGAAGATGCCCCAAGTCCCTGTACAGTGAGATCTGGGGGGGCCCAGGTGAACCGCCTAGGATCTTGCAGATCTAACATTCCAGGGGATCGTGAAAATGGATAGAGAGCTAACCCAGGATCGTTTTAGAAGTTATCGAGGTTTCTCCTCCCAGCTCTTGGCAGTAAGGTGGCCGCGCTCTTGGGAGAAAGGCTGTGTCATCGTCGCTGTCTGGAGCCTGCAGAGTTTCAGAAACACTGCAACAGCAGAGCTGAAGCACCTCCAGGACAAGAGCCGAGGGGGAGTTCTGAGCCCCCTGGACAGGGCGCTGCATGCCGCCCTTCTGAAGGCTCCCCGGCTCCACACTTACCTTTGAAGGGGGACTGGGCTCGAGTCACAAGGAAGAGCCTCTTGCTCTTGCTCTGCGGCTCCTGGCGGACGTGGTAGCCCAGCGTGTTGCAGCGGCCCTTCTTGCAGCTCAGGCACAGGCCCTGGCTGAAGCTGTCCATGTCCCTGCACAGGTAGGCCGTGCTCTGCGTGCCAGCGTGCAGCAAGGAGTCAATGAAAAGGTGCACTGATCGCTCGTGGGAGCATTTGATGGTCTGGGTGATGGCTGGAACACAGGGCAAGAAGGACATTATCACCCCTTAACCCAAAGCAGCCTCAACTCAGAGGATCATCTTGGTTCTCAGCCCACAGGAGGTTAGCAGTAGCACACAGGACAGGCAGGGATGGGCTTGTCAAGGCGGACCCCCTGACAACAGCCGGATGTGACAACTGACGGAAACTAAGGAAAGTAGACCCTCTGGGTCACGTAGTGTCGGGCAAATCCCAGGCACCGCAGGGATCCTCAGGGCAGTCCTCTGCGGCAGTGGAGTCACTAAGTAAATAGGCACCCAAGTCACTAAGTTAATTCATTACGAGAACACGTGAGTGTAGTTTATTATAGAAATATTTCTCTCTGCTGTGGGAGGCGGAGGCAGGTGGATCACAAGGTCAAAAGATCGGGACCATCTTGGCCAACATGGTGAAACCCCATCTTTACTAAAAATACAGAAATTTGCTGGGCGTGGTGGCGCATTTCCGTAGTCCCTGCTACACGGGAGGCTGAGGCAGGAGAATCGCTTGAACCTGGGAGGCGGAGGTTGCAGTGAGCCGAGATCGTGCCTCTGCACTCCAGCCTGGCAACGGAGCAAGACTTCATCTCAAAAGAAAAGAAAAAAAGAGAGAAATGTTTCTATCTTAAATGGGATAACTTAAAATGCCCTGGTGCTGATGCCTGGAGGGTGGGGTTTCTGGAACAGGCTTGCCTGGGAGCAGCTTTTCTCTTAATAGAGCTGGATGCAGGGTGCACTCCCGTGGCACTCTGACACTCTGGAAAACACTGAGGCCTCTTGACAGGGTCTACCTTGTGTCCCAAAGCAGCCACACTGCATCCCTTAGGTGGCAGGCCTGTGAAAGCAGCACGGGGACTGGGTTTGGAAGGACATTGTCCAGTAACCAGTAACCAACTGCACAGCCCTCACCCCCAAAACAAGCTTATGGGGTTGATCTACCATGGATGTGAACTTTCTTTTTTAAACTTTCCAAATTTTAACCTAATCTGTAGTAAATAATTCTCAGGGGCGTTGAGAAACCACCACAAGATATGTCAAACCCTTGGTGTAAAAGGACAGCACAGGTGACTTTGCCAAAAGCTATTTCCCTAGGTGTCTGGAGGCCAAATACCAACATTAGTCATCGCAGTTCTTGGACACCGGTGGCTGCACTCGTTGGGCACCTGCTGGGCGGCTGTTTCTGCTGCGTGCCCTCCATTCTCCACTGCCTGCCTTCCATCCTCCACTGCCTGCCCTGCATCCTCCCCTGCCTGCATCCTCCACTGCCTGCCCTGCATCCTCCCCTGCCTGCATCCTCCACTGCCTGCCCTGCATCCTCCCCTGCCTGCATCCTCCACTGCCTGCCCTGCATCCTCCACTGCCTGCCCTGCATCCTCCCCTGCCTGCATCCTCCACTGCCTGCCCTGCATCCTCCACTGCCTGCCCTGCATCCTCCCCTGCCTGCATCCTCCACTGCCTGCCCTGCATCCTCCCCTGCCTGCATCCTCCACTGCCTGCCCTGCATCCTCCCCTGCCTGCATCCTCCACTGCCTGCCCTGCATCCTCCACTGCCTGCCCTGCATCCTCCACTGCCTGCATCCTCCACTGCCTGCCCTGCATCCTCCCCTGCCTGCCCTGCATCCTCCACTGCCTGCCCTGCATCCTCCACTGCCTGCCCTGCATCCTCCACTGCCTGCATCCTCCACTGCCTGCCCTGCATCCTTCATTGCCTCCATCCTCCACTGCCTGCATCCTCCACTGCCTCCATCCTCCACTGCCTCCATCCTCCCCTGCCTGCATCCTCCACTGCCTGCCCTCCATCCTCCACTGCCTCCATCCTCCACTGCCTGCCCTGCATCCTCCACTGCCTGCCCAGCATCCTCCGCTGCCTGCCCTGCATCCTCCACTGCCTCCATCCTCCACTGCCTGCCCTGCATCCTCCACTGCCTGCATCCTCCACTGCCTGCCCTGCATCCTCCCCTGCCTGCCCTGCATCCTCCACTGCCTGCATCCTCCACTGCCTGCCCTGCATCCTCCACTGCCTGCCCTGCATCCTCCACTGCCTGCATCCTCCACTGCCTGCCCTGCATCCTCCACTGCCTGCCCTGCATCCTTCACTGCCTCCATCCTCCACTGCCTGCATCCTCCACTGCCTGCCCTGCATCCTCCACTGCCTGCATCCTCCACTGCCTGCCCTGCATCCTCCACTGCCTGCCCTGCATCCTCCACTGCTTCCATCCTCCACTGCCTGCCCTGAATCCTCCATTGCCTGCATCCTCCACTGCCTGCCCTGCATCCTCCACTGCCTGCCCTGCATCCTCCACTGCCTCCATCCTCCACTGCCTGCCCTGCATCCTCCACTGCCTGCCCTGCATCCTCCACTCCCTGAATCCTCCACTGCCTGCCCTGCATCCTCCACTGCCTGCCCTCCATCCTCCACTGCCTGCCCTGCATCCTCCACTGCCTGCATCCTCCACTGCCTGCCCTGCATCCTCCACTGCCTGCCCTCCATCCTCCACTGCCTGCCCTGCATCCTCCACTGCCTGCCCTGCATCCTCCACTGCCTGCCCTCCATCCTCCACTGCCTGCCCTGCATCCTCCACTGCCTGCATCCTCCACTGCCTGCCCTGCATCCTCCACTGCCTCCATCCTCCACTGCCTGCCCTCCATCCTCCACTGCCTCCATCCTCCACTGCCTGCATCCTCCACTGCCTGCCCTGCATCCTCCACTGCCTGCCCTGCATCCTCCACTGCCTCCATCCTCCACTGCCTCCATCCTCCACTGCCTGCATCCTCACTGCAGCTCCTGGAGGTAGCTGTTATCAACGAGGTAGCTGAGCCTCCAAGACATCTAACTCACCCCAGCTCATCCACCTAGGAGGCAGTGAGGGTGGAACGGCAGGTCTCCAGTGACCCCCCATGCAGTCGTGGCTGGGAGAACTACCCCCAGAACCCTTTCAAACACAGGGGTGAAGACAACTGAGAAAAGCCACCCCAAACTTGGGCAAGCTGAATATGTATATTTGGTTCCATTGCTTTGAAGTTTAGCACAAAAGAGCAAATGGGGCCGGGCGCGGTGGCTCACGCCTGTAGTCCCAGCACTTTGGGAGGCCGAGGCGGGTGGATCACGAGGTCAAGAGATCAAGACCATCCTGGTTAACATGGTGAAACCCTGTCTCTACTAAAAATACAAAAAATTAGCTGGGCATGGTGGCGCGTGCCTGTAATCCCAGCTACTCGGGAGGCTGAGGCAGGAGAATTGCCTGAACCCAGGAGGCGGAGGTTGCAGTGAGCCAAGATCGCGCCATTGCTCTCCAGCCTGGGTAACAAAAGCAAAACTCCATCTCAAAAAAAAAACGAGCAAATGGTAATGATTGGTCAGGATGTGTTTACCAGGCAAACAAAGCTCATGCACCATCCTGGTGGTCTCCGCCGAGCTTTGCGGGGGTGAAGTTTGGGAGGAGGGCTGGAAGGTCAGCTGGGAACTGCTGGTGGCTGGAGGGGAGGTGATGGGCGGGCGGAGGTGGGTGTGGGATGTAAGCAATGAAAGGGCAAGTTCCCAGAGGCTTTCTCAGGCCTGGGCGTTGGAAGACTAGGAGTCCAGCCAAAATGAGGTGATGTGGAGTGTGAAGGTCATTCTGTACTGGAGAAGCGAGGATGGTGTCATCACGGAGTGTGTTCTCCCCTCAGTGTCAGGTGATCAGGGTGAGGTGGCTTGCGGGGGTAGAGGGCTCTAGCCGGCTTAAAGTGATGGGCGTGTCTGAATCAGGATGGTCTTTTACAATAGCAAGAAATTTGGAATGTGCTGCTTCTGCTGACATTTTTGCTCTTTAACCCTGTGCATATTATCCATGTGCATGTTCACATTTCGGTTTTTAGGACTTCAGAGAGAAATGGGATCACACCCCAGATAATGGCACATTCTGTGTCTGCCCCAAGGTAAAGGGCCTAACAAGGACACATCTGAAGCTGAATTTCCCACTGGGAGAATCTGAGTAATGTCCCCAATTAACCTGATGGTGTGGGATGAAGGGTGAGAGCAGGGCTCAAGAAGCCACAGCCTATTAAGTAGATCCTCATGTGGCTCCTAGTGGCAGTCCCTGGAATGAGGAAACTTCCGGAGGAGGAATAGCCACGAGCATCCAGACTCAACTCTCAGAAGAGCTGGTCCTGGGGGAGAGGCTTTGCCCAGGCACATGGGGCCAGGGTGAGAGGTGGGGGTTCCTGTTGGTACCCTCTGCTCATCCTCAGGGTGTGGCCTTGCCCACTCCCATACTCCTTCTCTCTGGGTGGGCTCGGTGACCATACAACCTGGACCCCTACCCTTGCTGAACTGTTCCCCGAGTCCCACATGTCGGTAGATTCCACTGAATTCCAGCGGCCCTGTGAAAGTGTAGGCTGGTGCTCTGGCCCCATAACTTCTCTCTCACCGTTGAGGCCGTGCTGCGCGATGTGTCTGTAGAGCTCTAGGAAGTGGCAGCCGGGCTGGAAGGAGCCCCCATTGGGGTAGAAGTCATAGTGCCCTAGGGGCTGTTTGATGCCCACACTCAGGCCCATGTACTCCCGGGTGAAGGTGTGAATGGCATCCACAAAATCGGCATCATCTGGAGAAAGACGATCGCCGGGGGAACTTCCCTCAAACAAAGGGCCCGCAGGATCCAGCCCTAATTGGAAAGCAGAGGTAAGCGTCAGGTGGGAGCAAGGAGAGGGGAAGAGAAATGGCTTTTTAGCTTTTTCATATTATTATACATTAATGAGCTAGCAGGAAGAAGAAACACCTAGGGGATAATCCTTCTCTAGAAAACCTTGCCATAACCTTTTCTCAGTAAAACCACAGTAGTTCATGGTGCTAACAATGAGACACAGGCTAGGCATTAGCTAGAAGGGAAGAGGTTTGCAGAAACTACCCAGTGGTAGGCATAAGGTCATGATGCTTGAGGCTGGGAGGCGTGGGCAACATAGTGAGACCCCCATCTCTAAAAAAGGCAATACAAGGCTGGGTGTGGTGGCTCACACCTGTAATCCCAGTACTTTGGGAGGCTGAGGCAGGTGGATCACTTGAGGTCAGGAGCTCGAGACCAGCCTGGCCAACATGGAGAAAACCTGTCACTACTAAAAATAGAAAATTAGCCGGGTGTGGTGGCACATGCCTGTAATCCTGGCTACCTGGGAGGCTGAGGCAGGAGAATCACTTGAACCCGAGAGGCAGAGGTTGCAGTGAGCAGAGATTGCGCCACTGCATTCCAGCCTGGGCAACGAGAGTGAAACTCTGTCTCAATTAAAAAAAAGAATACAAAACTTAGCTGGGTGTGGTAGCATGTGCCTGTAGTTTCAGCTACTCGGGAGGCTGTGGCAGGAGGATTACTTGAGCCCAAGAGTTTGAGGCTGCAGTGAACTGTGATTGCACCACTGTGACCCAGTCTAGGCAACAGAGGGAGACCCTGTCTCAAAAAGGAAAAAGGGAATGCTTGAATTACGTAAGCAAATCAATTTCGAGTACCTCTCAAGCTTCTTTCAAGACCATCTGTTTGCATCCGTAAAAAAAGCCAATATGCTCATTATAAGTAGTTCCAACCTACCTATCAAAGAACGAAATTTGTTTGCCTGCATGTTGTCTATAATTTCCCTAAACAAGCTAATTTTTGTCCGACAATGTCATTCCGTCAGAACGTCCAGAAAGTGTGTGCAAGCAGGGTGGCTCAAAGCTCTGGGCCTCGAGTGACAGATGTATGTGCATGAAGCAAGGTGGCAGCCCCCAGCTGACTGTGGTTGCGTAGCATTTATGCACTCAAGGTTTTTCCCTGTTTTTCTTCCTCTGCCTTCCCTGGAGGACCCTCTGGTGTCCCACCCCAGCCTTGGCTTTCTTCTCTACTATGAGGGGTGAAGGAATTGAGAGTGAGCTCTGAGATTACCCATTCTCCAGCTCCACTCCCAGTGACAGATGAAAAATGTCCTTGACCAGGCGTGGTAACTCATGCCTGGTAATCCCAGCACTTGGGGAGGCCAAGGTGGGTGGACCACCTGAGGTCAGGAGATTGAGACCAACCTGGCCAACATGACAAAACCCCGTTTCTACTAAAAATACAAAAATTAGCCAGGCATGGTGGCAGGCACCTGTAGTCCTGGCTGACGGAGGAGAAAAACTTGAACCTGGGAGGTGGAGGCTGCAGTGAGCCAAGATTGTGTCACTGCACTCTAGCCTGTGCAACAGAACAAGACTTCATCTCAAAAAAAAAAAAAGGAAAGAAAAGAAAAATGTTCTGATGTCATTTCTATTTACTTTTTCATCAGGCTGATAACAAGATGGCAAGAGGGTGTTGAGCCTTCCTGCTGTCTCTGAGGCAGGTGGGCCAGGCTGACATGCCTGATGGGACCCACCACAGCCCTGGTTGGATGGAGAGGGTTCTGGTCCTTGGGCCTCTGCCCTCTGGCCCTGCTTCTTCACTGGGAGGGCTGCTCACCCCTAGGTGACTGTGGCTTAAATCCATGGGGCCACACGCCGGACCAGGCTTCCCCAGTCACCAGCAAGATGAACAAAACAGCATGAGGAAATGAGCTCTCATCATCACAAATGTATTCCGTTTATGTGTCCGCCATTTATAAAGGAATGGTGATAGTAGATAGTAGTTGTTTTTAAAATTGCCCTCTCGGTAAAATATAAAGTTGTAACCACTCTGTTATTGGTCTCAAATACTCTTTGTTTTAGCCTGTGAAATATGGTATGAGCCTGCTGGGTCCTGAAGGATGAGTAGGAGTTTGGTGGGGTGAGTGGTGGGGAAAGGGAACAGTGCGTGGAAAGGCCCAGAGGCACAAGAGGCCATGGTGTGTTCATGAAGTGGAGAAAAACCTTATGTTGTTGACGCCTAGAGCTATGGAAAGGGATGAGCAGAAGGGGAGGCTGGGGCACTCTGGGGCTTCCACACTGAGGAGGGCCTTGCCTGTGCCTCGTGGGTTTTATGCCTGTGCTGTCAGTGGGCCTCAGACTCGGGCTGGGGGACAATCTGACCAGCTCTGTGTTTTTGCATCCTAATTCCTGGCAGTGTGAAGGATGGGGCTGGGTCAGGCAAGCCTGGGAGGAAGACCTCTCTCGCACGTGTGCCGAACTTCCTGGCTGTCTTGGGGCATTTCTGAGTGGTATGGAGTTTGGGGTGAGGTTTTTGACGCAGAGCTCCCTCTTTCAACCCCAATGAGTCCCAGAATAAAATACACACGTTTCACAAATGTGGGAACAGAGGTGCGAACGTGAATCACAGCAAATTAACTCACCCAAACTGGACTTTGTAAATCACAGAATAAAAAATAAGGCCCTGGTAAGTGCGGTGGCTTATGCATGTAATCCCATCACTCTGGGAGGCTGAGGCGAGTGTATCATGAGGTCGGGAGTTCAAGAGCAGCCTGAGCAATATGGTGAAACCCTGTTTCTACTAAAAATACAAAAATTAGCTGGTCGTGGTGGCACATGCCTCTAGTCCCAGCTACTCGAGAGGCTGAGATAGGAGACTCGCTTGAACCCGGGAGGTGGAGGTTGCAGTGAGCCGAGATTGGACCGCTGCACTCGAGCCTGGTTGACAGAGTGAGACTCCAACTCAAAAAAAAAAAAGACCTTCCTGCTAGAAGAGTCCGTGTTTTAGTCCTGTTTGGCGCATCTACATGAGACATTTGTTTGAGCTGGGGTTGTGATTTGCTCTGAGTTCTCTGGAACAGGAGTCCATGACATTGGTCATGTTGGAGAGAGTATTCTAAGTCCTCTTAGGAGCTCTGGTCTTAAAAAGAGCCGGGACATTTTAATGATGAGCCTGTTGGAAAAGGAGGTCCCCGCTGGATGCCCCCGTGTGGTGGAGATCGCAGCGTGAGTTATCGGGCATGGTTACCTGTGATTCTCCCGATCTTGCGTGTTCCACCCATGGAACTGCCGGCAAATCCTGACACGTGTGCACCCAGGCTGTAGCCAATTAGATGAACATGGCTTCGAGAGAACTGAACAGACTCCTGAAAGACAGCAGGGGGATGGGGGCAGGAGAAGAGATGCCTTTAGTGGTCCAGGGCGTTCTGGCATCCACCCTGTTCTTCGTGCCTACTCAGAAATGACGTGCCTTATTCACATTCCAAACACACTCGTCTCTTGCCTGGCTGCCTCTCCTGGGGCTCAGGTACCTAGGACCTTACCTGGTGGCTGCTGCCTCCTGCCAGCCTGTCTTTTCCTGGACACTAATGTCCTACAGAAGTCATCCCACTCACTTGTGTGGCGACCTGATAGCTTACAGGGTGTGTTTGGATCCCTTTGCGTGTCTGAGGGGGGTGAGCATAACAGGGACAGTGGATGAGGAGCGAGGAGAAGATTGTTCTGCAAGACAGGGGTTCAAGGGAGGCAGCTGAGAGAGCCCTGAGGTCTGGTCTTGCTCCTTCGAGCTGAGCGTTAGTGCTTCTCCTGTCTGGGCTGCTGTTGGAAACCGGCTTAATTCACTCAGTCTCAGAGGAAGGGAAAGGAGGGAAGGGAGGGGAAGGAAGGATGGGACAGGTCGGTACCTCCAGCCACCGGAGAAGAGCCGCGACCTCCTTGCCCACGAGGCGTGTGTTGCGGACGGCGATGGTGTAGTGGTTCTGGGCCAGGGCGATCCAGTCCACCAGCCCCACGTTCACTGGCTGCGCCGGCTGAGACTTCAGTGCGGCCACCAGCTGCCAGATCCAGTTTTCTAGTATGCCATTCACCTGAGGTGACAGAGACAGGGTCACACTCATTTCCTCTCCCTGCTCACACTTCTTCCTTCTCCAGCTCTTGGGTAATGCTGGATCCTTTCCCGCAAGACGAAGGGCTTGTGATAGGGTTTCTCAGCCGTGCATAGCTGGCATTTTGTGCCGGAGAATGCCTTGATGTGGGGGCTGCCTTGTGCTTTGTACGACGTTTAGCAGCGTTCTGGGCCTTCACCAACCAGATGCCAGCAGCACCCACCCCCTGCCCCAGGTTTTGAAAACCAAGCCTGCCTACAGATTTCTCCAAACATTCCCTGCCTAAGGATTATCTTAACGTTTTCCCACTTTGGGACTCTCTAAACCTTAAAACAGTGGAAAAATGTGTGTAAATCAGATCCTGGAACCTGACCTATCCCTTAGGTCTCCTCCTCCTCCTCCGTGAGGCTGCCCCACCTCAGCCCTAAACTCACAGCGCCGGCTCTGCCCCTGCAGACTGGGTGATGTGGCACTTAGTGGGATGGGCACTGTGAGCCTGACATTGTAGGAGCTGAAAAATGTTTACAGAGAATTGTTCTGTGTGTGCCTTGTTTGAAAACAAATTTGCAGGGCACTTCTAATGGATTCACAGACAAAGAGCTTTGTGCTGGGCCTTAAAGGATCAGTAGGAGTCCACTAAGAAGAATATGGTTGGGGGCCAGGTACAGTGGCTCATGCTTGTATTCCCAGCACTTTCGGAGGCCAAGGCAGGGGGATTGCTTGAGCCTAGGAGCTTGAGAAAGCCTGGGAAACATAAGAAAACCCCATCTCTACAAAAACTATAAAAGTTAGCCAGCTGTGATGGTGTGCGCCTGTGGTTCCAGCTATTCCGGAGTCTGAGGTGGCTGGATGGCTTGAGCCTATTAGATCGAGTCTGCAGTGAGTGGAGATTGCACTGCCCTCCAGCCTGGGCAACAGAGTGAGACCATATCTCAACAACGCAAAACTAAAAACAAAATACAGGTGGGCAGGTGAATGTGGTAGTGGTGAGGTCTAGGGAATTCCAGGCAGAAGGAGCAGCATGTGCAGAGGTACAGCATCGTGGAAGGGCAGTGTGGTGTGTCAGGGGAGAGTAGAAAAGTTGGGTGAGGTGGAAGCTAGACAACAGGAGGTGAGAATGAGACAGCAGGAGGTCAGGGCTAGAAGTAGGAGGTGAGCTCTAGAAAATAGGGGGTGAGAGCTAGACAATAGGCAGTAAGGGCTGGACAATGGGGGTAAGGGCTAGACAATAGGTGGTAAGGGCTAGACAATAGGGGGTAAGAACTAGACAATAGGAGGTGAGGGCTAGAATAGGAGGTGAGAGCTAGACAATAGGCGGTAAGGGCTAGACAATGGGGGTAAGAACTAGACAATAGGAGGTGAGGGCTAGAATAGGAGGTGAGGGCTAGAAAATAGGCGGTAAAGGCTAGAAATAGGAGGTGAGGGCTAGAAAATAGGGGATGACAACTAGATAATAGGAGGTGACAAAGAGACAATAGGGGATGAGGTCTAGACAAGAGGGGGTGAAAACTAGAAAACAGGAGCTGAGGGCTTGACAATAGGAGGTGAGAACAAGACAATGGTGGGTGAGAACTAGAAAATAGTGGGTGAGGGCCAGACAATAGTGGGTGAGAACTAGACAATAGGAGGTGAGGGCTAGAAAACAGGGGATGAGAGCTAGAAAATAGGTGGTGAGAAAGAGACTGTAGGGGGTGAAGGCTAGACAATAGGGGGTGAGGTCAGACAATAGGGGGTGAGGTCAGACAATAGGAGGTGAGGTCAGACAATAGGAGGTGAGAATTAGACAATAGGGGGTGAGGTCAGACAATAGGGGGTGAGGTCAGACAATAGGGGGTGAGGTCAGACAATAGGAGGTGAGAATTAGACAATAGGGGGTGAGGTCAGACTATAGGAGGTGAGAATTAGACAATAGGGGGTGAGGTCAGACAATAGGAGGTGAGGTCAGACAATAGGAGGTGAGGTCAGACAATAGGGGGTGAGGTCAGACAATAGGGGGTGAGGTCAGACAATAGGAGGTGAGAATTAGACAATAGGGGGTGAGGTCAGACAATAGGAGGTGAGAATTAGACAATAGGGGGTGAGGTCAGACAATAGGGGGTGAGGTCAGACAATAGGGGGTGAGGTCAGACAATAGGAGGTGAGGTCAGACAATAGGAGGTGAGAATTAGACAATAGGGGGTGAGGTCAGACAATAGGGGGTGAGGTCAGACAATAGGGGGTGAGGTCAGACAATAGGAGGTGAGAATTAGACAATAGGGGGTGAGGTCAGACTATAGGAGGTGAGAATTAGACAATAGGGGGTGAGGTCAGACAATAGGAGGTGAGGTCAGACAATAGGAGGTGAGGTCAGACAATAGGGGGTGAGGTCAGACAATAGGGGGTGAGGTCAGACAATAGGAGGTGAGAATTAGACAATAGGGGGTGAGGTAAGACAATAGGAGGTGAGAATTAGACAATAGGGGGTGAGGTAAGACAATAGGAGGTGAGGTCAGACAATAGGGGGTGAGGTCAGACAATAGGAGGTGAGGTCAGACAATAGGGGGTGAGGTCAGACAATAGGGGGTGAGGTCAGACAATAGGAGGTGAGGTCAGACAATAGGAGGTGAGGTCAGACAATAGGGGGTGAGGTCAGACAACAGGAGGTGAGGTCAGACAATAGGAGGTGAGGTCAGACAATAGGGGGTGAGGTCAGACAATAGGGGGTGAGAATTAGACAACAAAAGGCTAGGGCTAGAAAGTGGGGGGTGAGAAAGAGACTGTAGGGGGTGAGGTCAGACAATAGGAGGTGAGGGCTAGAAAATAGGAGGTGAGAACTAGATAATAGGGGGTGAGAACTAGACAATAGGAGATGAAAACTACACAATAGAGGGTGAAGGCTACACAGTAGGGGGTGAGGTCAGACAATAGGAGGTGAGAATTAGACAACAAAAGGCGAGGGCTAGAAAGTAGGGGGTGAGTGCTAGATAATAGGAGGTGAGAACTAGACAGTAGGAGGTGAGAACTACACAATAGAGGGTGAGGGCTAGACAATAGGGGGTGAGAACTAGAAAATAGGGATGAGAGCTAGACAATAGAAGGTGAGAACGAGAGAATAGCCTTCTTCCCTTTCTAGGGGGTGAAGGCTAGATAATAGGAGGTGAGAACTAGACAGTAGGAGGTGAGAACTACACAATAGAGGGTGAGGGCTAGACAATAGGGGGTGAGAACTAGAAAATAGGGATGAGAGCTAGACAATAGAAGGTGAGAACGAGAGAATAGCCTTCTTCCCTTTCTAGGGGGTGAACGCTAGACAATAGGAGGTGAGAACTAGGCAGTAGGAGGTGAGAACTACATAATAGAGGGTGAGGGCTAGACAATAGGGGGTGAGAACTAGAAAACAGGGATGAGAGCTGGACAACAGAAGGTGAGAACGAGAGAATAGCCTTCTTCCCTTTCCTAGGGGGTGAAGGCTAGACAATAGGAGGTGAGAACTAGACAGTAGGAGGTGAGAACTAGAGAATAGGAGGTGAGGGCTGGACAATATGGCGTGAGGATTAGACATAGGAGGTGAAAGCTAGAAAATGGGGTGAGCGCTAGACAACAGGAGGTGAGACTGAGACAATAGGAGGTGAAGGTTAGACAATAGGAGGTGAGAACTAGATAACAGAAAGTGAGAGCTAGACAATAGGAGGTGAGCGATAGAAAATAGGAATGAGAGCTGGACAATAGAAGGTGAGAACGAGACCATAGGGGGTGAAGGTTAGACAAAGGAGGGGGGTGAGACCTAGACAGCAGGAGGTGAGAACTGGACAATAGGAGGTGAGAACTAGACAATGGGGGGTGAGAACTAGACAATGGGGGGTGAGAACTAGACAATATGAGCTGAGGGCTAGAAAATAGGAGGTGAGGGCTTGACAATAGGACATGAGGGCTAGACAATAAGGGCTCACTCTAGACCTTAGGGGGTAAGGGCTAGACACTAGTAGGCGAGGACTAGGCAGTAGGAGGTGAGGGCTGGATGATGGGATCTAAAGTGCTTAGAACAGTGTGTGGAATATAGTACAGACGGAAGAAAGGTTCGTTACTGCAGCCGCTGTTGTTACTAATATTAGTAGTGATAGGAGGAGGAGACATCTAGTAGGTTGGACAGAATGTTGATAATGAAGAGTGCATTTTGGTAAAAGGGTCCTGGCAAGAGGCTCATGTGGTCTTCATGTTGCATTTATGAACAAGACTAATTCATTTGATCTTTAAAGCAGTTAGCAGACATTTTGGAGCACTGATTACATAGTGGATACTGGCCCACAGTGGTCAGTGAGACCAGAATAGGACAGAATCCTTCCCAGGAAGAAGCTTCCAGCCTAGCAGAGCAGAGAAACGCAGAGCTTAGAAAGCCAAGCTGCAGAACAGTGCTGGAGAGTGCTCGGTGCCGCACGGGACTCCCGGTGATGCTGAAGGTCCCCGCAGGAGTGCTAGGGTGGTGGCAGCAGTGGCTTCAGGAGGACCTGTTTGGGATTGCGTCTTACAGGAAAAGTGGGAGTTAATCAGGAAAAGAGGAGGACATAGACTACTCTAGGCAGAGGGCACAGACTGAGCCAAGACCCAGAAGAGAGAAGGCAGGCACCCGGGGTATGGAGGAGCTGGAACATCATGTGGGGGGCAGGGAGTGGGGAGGGGAGGCAGGTGATGGAATGGCTCGTTTTACTCTCCAGGGCAGATTAGATGGGGGTTCCCAGAGTACTTTCCAAGGAAAGTTTTCTAAGGGAAAAAGGTTTCTAAGTCACGAAATAGACACACACCTCTCTGGAGGGTTCAAACTGTGAACTATGCTTGAAATCATGGGTGGGCTAGAAAATGGGGAGGCAGGATTTCCTCTTGGAGCCAAGGCCTCACAGAGTGTGACTTCACCCCTTGCCGACAATATGTTTCCTCTCCTTATTCCGTGGTGGTATAAATTTTAGTGTCACTAAAAGGCTACATCTTCTTTGAGCCTATGCTTTTCAGCCACTTTCCACTTAGGTCTGGTCAATGGGCATAACTGGGAGAGTTTCACAGCGGCTCTGGGATACCTAAAAAACACTCTTCTCTACCAAAAGCTACTGAACTGTACGTGTATGCTTTGCAGATTATATCTCAGTAAAGCTCTTTGTAAAAACCTTGCTTTTGACCCCTTCGCGTATATCTTTTACTACATTGTGCTTCCCGGAACAAAGATGTGATGGCTAGTGCTCTAGCTGCCATCTTGGACTATGAGGATGAGGGTCACATCCCAGGATGGCACAGCAGTGAGCTGGAAGGAGGCACTGCCCGGAGAACTTCATTGACCAAAGCTGTCTAGCCAGTTTTTCAGATACATATATCTTTGGAATATTTTGTGAAATGAATAAATTTCTGTTTTATTTGAACCACGCTAATTTGAATCTCTGTTATTCGCAGTAGAACTTAAACCTTACAGTGTTTCACTGGGAGTGCGTTCGTCTGGCTTCCCACGTCCCCCCATGTAACATGGAGATTCAGGAGGGAGGCTTCCTCCTACATGGACTGCAATCCCTTGTGGGTCCTAATGAGCTGTGATCTCTTTGAGCCACTTTCTCTCTGAAGCATGGAGATAATTATATTTTCCTACCCTGCTTACTCATGGAACTGAGATAATCAATGAGCTAATGCATGGGGAAGCACTTGGAATATGAGAATGTGCTTCATAAACATTATGCACGGAGTTATCACCAGCTCCCTATCTTTTTATGAACGCACTAGAAAGAAGAAAAGAAAATGTGAAGGCAGAGAGAAAAATGGCATGTCAGCATTTCCTACCGACCACCCGTGGATGATCATCACCAGAGGCAGAGAGGAGTTGAAGCCGCACTCCTGTAGCCTGTCCAGACGATCAATTTGAATCTGACAGCCCCGATGGGTTTCTCCAAAGAGCAGGAATCTGGTCTTTGTCTCATGCGGTGTTTTGCTTGTTTCAAGAGCTCGAGTTCTTCTTCCAAATGGCTCTGGAATATAAGATTGGGGACAGTGCTTGGCTTGGTATCTGGTCCGTGTGCAGCCCTTTGTCTTCTCAAAGGCTGCTTCTGCGAGCACAAGCCAACGAGGTTACTGGGAAATGCTGGAGATCAGAGTGAGCCACAAATCTGGGGAGTCCCAAAGACTGTTTCCAGTGGAATGGCCAAGTGATGGTGGATGGCCTAGGAGGACCCAACACAGAGGTGGAGACCATGAGATCCTCTATCCTGTCATCCCAGTGACCAGCCAATCAGGCACTAGAGTCACCCTGCGGGTCAGAAGGAATACAGGTAAGGCGGTTTTGGAGGCTTGGTGGAAAAGCAGCTCATCCCAAATCACACTGCTAAAAACTGAGAGAGAGGAGATTTGAACCCAGGTCTCGCTGTCTCCAGTTTCATCCCTGCATCCCTACGTGGGGAGACGGTGAATAGAGCGTCTTAACCGGATGACACTGTGTATTAGCTCCTGTGACTCAGCCTTTCCTCATTTGCAGACACATTATATCAGGTACGCCTTGCAGGGACAAGGTACAGGGTTGAAGGTGGGGCGGGGTTGGGGGAATCACAAAGGGAGTCGTGGATGTTGCCTGAGGGAGGGTGTGGCATTCAGGGAGGGCTTTTCAGGGAACGTGATGTTGACCCTGGCCTTGCAGGATGGTAGAGAGAGAGAGAGAGAGAGAGAGAGAGAGAGTGTGTGTGTGTGTGTGTGGTTGCGGGGGTGAGGGCTGGCTGAGGGAGCAACATGAGTCAAGGCTTTCCAAGGCCGTGGGAGGTGGAAAAGGAGGGGAACTTGTTTTTAAGATCTCACTTTCTGTTGTTTGAAGGGTCTTACACCCTCTCTTCTGGGGGAGTCTCACCATGACCCACTTTGGAATGGGGGTGGGTGGTCATTCAACTCTGTCAGGCAGCCGAATAGCTGTTCTGTCTGTAGTGCTGGGCGCGTTTCCATGGGGTGGCATGTCAAGATGGGCGCATCTTTTCTGCCCAGATTAAGGATCAGGCCAAGAGCTGAGAGAGGAAGCTCTCATCCCTTCCCTCTGATAGAAGGTGGGCTCCCCTGTGGCTGAGGGCCCGACACGAGGCCACTCTGGCATTTTTGGTCAGTGAACTCAATTCAGCCCAATTACTAAGGACCCTGATCATTCTTTCTGAGCACTAAATCCTTCAGGCTTCTCGGATAATAAGTCTTGGGCTTCTGGTTTCAGGGGACGGCAGGACCAGGAGATGACAAACCTACAGAGTCCGAGGGGCGGTGTTAATGGAACCAGTTCTCCTACCCTCTGGGTATTAATTCAAAAGGTGATTAATTCCCAGCAAAGGGCAATGATTTTTCACTGTGATGACAGAATGGAATGCAGCATATTTTATTAAAAGGAGAAGTGAGCAAGAATTTGAATGACTTTTCTGCTGCCCCGTTCGGCTTTTCCAAGCTTTAGAGGGTCTCAGCTCGCCCTTGCTCCTGGAAGCCTGCTTCCAACCTAGCCTTTTGATTTCACTGGGTGCCCTCCTGACTGAGTCAGAAGCCGGGGTGTCACCTCGCACTGCTACGGCAATCTCTCGATTCGTCCGAAGCTTCAGGCTTCCCTGATATCCCTAGAATCCTGTGCCTTAGTCCCTGTGAGCCTGTATCTCGCTTGGTCTATTGCAGCAGCCTCCTAGCTGGCCTTCTGTCTTTGGCCTCTCTCTGTCCTCCTGCACAAGCTGCTCAGAGTCTAGCACAGAAACGACTATACCCCTGAGCCACTTCCAGGTTCTTGGTATTGCAGCCACGGCCGTCACCTGAGTGATCGCCCCTCATCGCCCATCTCCTCCTCTTTTCCGTCTCCTGCTACCAGCCGTTCCCAAATGCCCTTTTGGACACCGGTATCTTTGCACCTCGTCTCCTGCTCTCTCTCTGCTGCCCCAGTCATTGAAGTGGAACGGAGACTTCCCAGCGTCCAAGAAGCCTTCCCATCTAGTCAGAGGTCGTTAGTCCTGCCCGCTCTCGGTGCCGCACCGCCTCCCTGATCCGGATGTTCTTGCCCTGCGGCTGGGTGATTTATTTGTCCAGGTGTGCTTCCTCCGCCTGTCTGTGAACTCATGGAGAACTGGGCACAGTAGTGGCGGTGTTACCGAGCGGTGAGGTGTCCTGCCGGGTCCAGACCTCAGATCAAAGGCTGGCGTTCAGTCTTCAGCCTTTTGTACGTTGGACCTAATGTAGCTCATTTTCTTGCATTCGGAGACAGAAACACTCTACCTTTCTTCGTTTTAGGACAGCTGCCTCAAATGTTAGGAGGGTCACATGAACATAAAAAGGGATAAAAATAGTGCCTATCTCAAGGGATTGTTATGAGAAACAAGACGTTTGTAGAAAGCCCCGAACAATGCCTGGCATGCGATTAACACGTAGAGGAGGGAGTGTTGTTAGAATAAGCGCCACTTGGAGCATCTAGCATCTTGCATTTCTGATCAGTGAAACCCTTTCTTTCTGTGGAAATTCACCCCAGTTGTCCTCATAGGACCAATTCTGTCTTGAGTATATTTACTCTGGATTTAGCTGTGAGACAAGCTCCCACCCAGGTGCCTGAGGCTTCGAGGCTATTCAGGAGAGACCATGGAAGAGAGTTGTCAGATAGAAAAGCCCACAACCAACGGAGCTGAGCAGGCCCTCTCTCTTCTCCCATCCTGGGGACTTTAGCTCTCCTTAACATGCATGAGCGAGGACGCTGTGTATACTGTATACAGGTGTGTGCTCATTCATTTATTCTCTTCTTCAACAAACGTTTATTATGCCCGTGTTATGCCCCAGGCCCTGGCTAGGTGCTAGCTGGAGGCAAAGAGGGCACGTGGTCCCTGACTTTCCAGAGTCCCCAGGCTCATGCGGGGTTGGGGGAGGGGCTGCAAGCATGAAAACCGGCTGTGCTCACGCCCGCAATCCTGGCATTTTGGGAGGCCGAGGAGGGTGCATTGCCCGAGCTCAGGAGTTTGAAACCAGCCTTTGCAACATGGTGAAACCCTGTCTTTACAAAAACAAAAAATTAGCTGGGTGTAGCAGTGTGCGCCTGTAGTTCTAACCTGGGAGGCTGAGGCAGAAGAATCGCCTGAACCCGGGAGGCGGAGGTTGCAGTGAGCCGAGATTACACCACTGCACTCCAGCCTGGCAACAGAGCCAGGCTCTGTCTCTGTGTTGCAGTGGAGGAATACCCTGAGCAGGGGCTTTAGGGAAGAGATCAAGAGAAGATAGGGCATCAGTCGGGTCTAGATGATGAAAGATTCTTTAAGAGCTCACATTATGAACAATTGTTAAAGAAATAGGGCTCTGGTGCCCATGAAAGTAAGATTGGGTGGATGACATGAGAGCTGAAGGGCTGCTGTGGAGAAGATACACTAGAATTATTTTGTGTCACTTCAAGAGTTAGGAACAAACAGAATGGGTGGTCATGACATGAAAGAACATGTTTAACTTGAAGCAGTTGAAGAACTCGAGACAGAGAAAATAAGGGCAGTGCAGCAATGAAGATAGACATGTTAATATGAACACCCTAAAATGTGCACCGCGTGATACTACAAGGCTGCTGAAGATGGGCCACAGATTTTTTTTCTGAGCTTCCTGTTGGCCACATCAAAGAGGGAAGTAGGATCAGTTATAACGTTCCTGGTGGCCGGATGCTCCTTCTTTCCTGGTCCTGAAACCCAAGATGATTTCCATATGTGGAGGTTACCGGGTGAGAAAGGAAGTGTTGTCTTGAAACCATCCCTACCAAAGATGTAACAGCAAGTTTTGTGTGGTGAACTCTGAAAGCCCTGTAATCTTCAATGAAACAGCAGCCACAGCACCAAATAGCATTTAAGTCACGGAAAGTCTGCGAGAGATCCTTCACTCTAATTGAGCAGCAGTCCCTATGACTGAGGGAGGCAGGGGCCACTTCAGGTCACATTTAGGGGTGGAATGAATAGAGCCCTGAACCCAAGGGTCTGAGTCTCCATGACAGCAGAACACGTAGAGCCTTGGGCATCTTAAGGGAAGCCTGTGCCTTAGAGGACTCACTGCTGTGCCCACCCTCATACATTTGCTGCAGTCTCTTTCCCCAAACTTCAGCTTTCCTCACCAGCTCTTGACTGAGCATCCCTGCCTGGGCACTCTTTGGGCACTTCAGACTCAGCCAGGCCAAACAAAATGCATTTTCTTTCCTCTCATCCCCTTCTTCGTCCTCTCTTCCTGCATTTCCTGTTGTGGTTCATGACACCATCATTCATCTCTACGCTCAAGCTAGACAGCTCAAAGCTTATGCCCTCTCTTGCTTCTGTACTGGGTCACCATCTACTGAGGACTCAACTTCAGAATTATCTTCTTCCTCTGCCCAGTGGCCTAGTCTAGGTCCTTAGCCTGTTTCTCCCTTCAAATCATAGGGTTGCAATAGACTCTTAACTGTTTCATATTTTATTTTATGTTTTTGTAGAATTAAGGCATGCTCATTGGATACAGGCAGTGTGCGCAATGCTGAAAATATTATTTAGAAAAAAAATACTTAGGGTATGTCTTACCAATTTTATAGATATTAGTTCCATAGATATTTGTTTGCAGGGTCTGTAATTGAGATCATGTTACATGGATGGTTAAAATCCCTCTTCACTCATCGTTATCATTTTCTCAGACCACCAGAGATGCTTCAAAACATACTTGGAAAAAGTGGCATAATTTATTTCCTTGTTCCACGATTGTTGAAAATTTGTGTCGTTTCAAGGTTTTCTTCGCCCTGTGACAAGCAATTCTCTGGCAATAACCTTTAGGTATTAGTATCTGTCTGCATCCGTTCGTATCTTCTTAGTACGGTTTCCTAAACGTAGAACCGCTTCCTCGGGTATGATCCTGTTAGTGTCTCCTTATAGACACGTACATTTTCAAGTTGATCTTCAGCATTTTTTTAAGCTAATGTATATTGAATGCTCTCTCTGTGCCAGGTAATTTTCCAACAGTCTTATTTGTATGGACTCGTTTAAACCTGGCAGCT